AGACCCCTGAGAGCCCCACGATGGCCCGTCCACCACACAGACCCCTGAGAGCCCCACGATGGCCCGTCTCCCACACAGACCCCTGAGAGCCCCCAGGGTGGCCCACTCACCATGCAGACCCCTGAGAGCCTCATGATGGCCCAGCCACCACGCAGACCCCTGAGAGCCCCCACGATGGCCTGTCCACCATGCAGACCCCTGTGAGCCCCCACAATGACCCATCTACCACCCAGACCCCTGAGAGCCCCATGATGGCCCGTCCGCCATGCAGACCCTCGAGAGCCCCACGATGGCCCATCCACCATGCAGACCCTCGAGAGCCCCACGATGGCCCATCCACCATGCAGACCCTCGAGAGCCCCCACGATGGCCCGTCCACCATGCAGACCCCTGTGAGCCCCCACAATGACCCATCTACCACCTAGACCCCTGAGAGCCCCACGATGGCCCATCCACCATGCAGATCCCCGAGAGCCCCCACGATGGCCCGTCCACCACGAAGACCACTGAGAGCCTCTTTTTTCTGAGAGTTGAGGGGCACTTTTCCCAGAAGGGCCTGGGCTGCATTGGAAGGATGCGGGGGCTGCCCTGGGTGGCTGATGTGTGGAGGTACCCGAGCAGAGGGCAGGGCCAAGGGGTCATTGCAGCTGGGAACGGGATGCCTAGGGTGTGTGCAGGTGAGGGGTCTGCGGGAGAGAAGCCTGTGTCCTGGGTGGCCCGCGCGACGAGGGTCAGGTTCAGAGGGAGATGATGAACCACTGGGCCTCTGTCGTCTGTCTGGACTGTTCTTGGTAAGAGTGAAGGCAGCCTGTTTGTGTCCCCGGCACTCGTCACCCTAGCTAGTGCGTGTGCTTTGTGGCTGTGAGCAAGGCTGTGCACTGACGGCAGAATTATTATACGGTGTGTTCTTGGGCTAAATAGGGTTGAATTAATGCTTAAAATTAATACTAAGATGTGGTGAACTTGAACATGGGTGGATTGGTTGTCATTCGGCCAAAATTCATGCGGTGGGTTCTCTGCTTTTTTG